GGCGGAGGGAGGCGCGGGCCTTTGAGGGAGGGGGCCGGAGGGCGCCGGGCCGGGTCTGTGGGGAGGGAGCGGGGCGGGCCTAACTGGGGGCGAGGACTGGGCCAGAGTGGGGAGCAAAGGCGGCTGGAACTCCCGGACCCACAGGGGCTCTGGGTGAGGCCGTCTCGGGGCCTAGGCAGCTGCGGCAGACAGGGGCTCTAGGCTTCGCCGCGGTCGTTCTTCGCAACGCGGTCTGAGGGCCGCTGGGAACCGAGGCCTGGACTTTTCCGCCGCGCCACAGGCAGCTGCGACACCGACGCGGCGCAACCCGGGTCGGGCCCGAGGGTGATGGGCGGCGAGCCCCGCGAGCCCCGACGGCCTGGGAGAGCGGGGGGCGGCGCGAGGCCGGGGGCGGGGCAGAGCGGGTGGGGCCGAGCTTGGGCTGCCGGGATGCTGCGTCTCTAGAGATGGGAGGTTGGCGACCATTGCCCTCCTCCCATCCCAGGATCCTCATACCTTCTAATGCTTCCCTTTTTCTGAATACTGCAGTGGCATCTTTATTACTTTGGCCCATTTTGCGGGCTCGAGATCTTCCTTTCGGAGCCATGTCAGAAGGAGTGGACTTGATTGATATATACGCCGACGAAGAGTTCAACCAGGTGAGGGGACATCGGGAGTTTGGGGATGTTCGTCGATCAGCTAAGGAATCACTTCCAGCAAATTTAACAGTGGTTTCAAGCTATCCTAGTTCCCGGCTGTGCCAGTCCTAGGCTTGAACACTTTAGTGGGTTTAAAAATTTTACCCCACCAGACTTTAAAGACTTCTCACCATTCCGCTTTATGTAGTATAACTGGAACCTCCAGGCTTAACTGTAAAGGCTGTGATTTAAAAGCATATAAAAATCAGGTGTAACAGAATGGCAAATCAACCTGTGGAACTTGCTCCTCTAGGAAACCAAAGTTGGATGTCACTCTCCTTAAAAACTAACCACACTTAAAAACCAGAATTTGCTACTGTATTCATGAGGATTATGTTGATATCCATTACTTTATATGATTCTCTCAGACTGCAGCTGGAGAAATATAATCCCCTCCCCCGTGATGGTACAAAGATGCAGTAAAAAAGATACTTTTAACATTTAGTTTCAGGTTTGTTCCAGTTGTTTTTAGGTTTAACTTTTGTAAGTAGCTTGACTCTGGTCATGAGAAATCCATAGGCATTTTAGTAAAATATTATTGTTGAACTTTACTGTTTCTAGGAAGAAATAAAGGGTAAACATATTAGACAAATCATTTAAAAGGCATAAACCCACTAGACCCACTCCCATACTGTAACTTGGATTTGTTGGTGTCTTTGTTTTTGTTGTATCCAAGAACATTATACAAAAATTTCCCTTGAAATAATAGTTCAGTTTTGCCATCTAAAGGTCAAATCTCAAGAATGTTTGAGAGTCTTTATTTAAAACTTAACTGTTATCTTACCTAGGTTATTTTTAGCATCATTCTACTTAAGTAAGCTGGTTTTTCCCATTGACATCTTCCAGTGGGTACACATAAAGACCTGGAAAGAGCATGTAATGAATGGGCTAGAGGAGGCTCTGACTTTGACCTGAAGCAATAGAAGAGGCAGATAAATGCCATTTTTTTCAGTTGGCATAAATTTAAGTTGGGGGAGGCTCGGCGCCTATGGCTCAACCCGCTAAGGCACCAGCCACATACACCTGAGCTGGCAGGTTCGAATCCAGCCCAGACCCACCAAACAACAATGACGGCTGCAACCAAAAAACAGCCAGGCGTTGTGGCGGGCGCCTGTAGTCCCAGCTACTTGGGAGGTGGAAGCAGGAGAATCGCTTGAGCCCAAGAGTTGGAGGTTGCTGTGAGCTGTGATGCCACGGTTCTCTACCCAAGGTGACAGCTTGAGGCTCTTTCTCAAAAAAAAAAAGTTGGGGGAATGCATTATGGCTCTTTAACATGGAGATTTTAAAGCATGCATAAAAATAGAATAGTGTAATGACCTTGTATCAATTATACTTTATAGGCTTCGGGCTGTAGCTCAGTGGTTAGGGCACCAGCCCTGTACACCAAGGCTGGAGGGTTCGAACCAGCCTGGACCTGCTGAACAACAATGACAACTACAACAGAAAAAGAGCTGGGCATTGTGGTGGGTGCCTGTAGTCCCAGCTACTTGGGAGGCTGAGGCAAAAGAATTGCTTAAGCCCAACATTTGATGTTGCTGTGAGCAGTGACACCGTGGCACTCTATCAAGGGCGACATAATGAGACTCTGGAGAAAAAACAAACAAAACTTTTTAATAGCTGTTTTCCTGGTAAACTGGAGGCATCTAAATTTGGCTGTTGATTATTTTAAATACATGAAAAATTTTTTCTTAATTTCAGTAGTTAAGGACAGGGATAAAAAAGGTTATGGATAAAAGGGCAAGGTTTAGTATATTTATTTACAAAACCATTACTTTTTGAGTTTTCTGTATTCCTTTGAGTCAGACTTCTATTTTTTACAAATTACAGAGCTTTATTTTTCAGGATAACAAAAAAGAGGGCTCTTTTAGTTCCACTATTTTTTTTCCTCTTTTTTTCTTTTAAATGGGCAGATGAGTACCTTTGTTTTTTTGTTTATTTGTTTTTTGGGACAACAACTCTCTTTGTGCCCTGGGTAGAATGCTGTTGCTCACAGCAAGCTCAAACTCTTGGGCCCAAGTGATCCCCCTGCTTCAGCCTCCTGAGTAGGTGGGACTACAGGCCCCTGACACAATTCCTGGCTAAATTTTACTGTTGTTTTGTTTTGTTTTGTTTGTTGCCCTGGGTGTGTGAGTGCTGTGGTGTCATAGCTCACAGCAACCCCAAATTCCTGGGCTCATGAGATCCTCTTGCCTCACCCTCACCAGTACCTGGGACTATAGGTGCTTAACACAATGTCCAGCTTTTTGTTGTTGAGTCAGAGTTCTCACTCTTGCTCAGGGTGGTCTCCATCTCCTGAGCTCAAGCAATGCACCATCCTTGGCTTCCTACAATGCTGGAATTATAGACATGGGCCACTCTGCGTGGCCTTCCACTGTTGTTAATGATAAGCTTTTATTTCCCTTGAACTTTTGTTTGTGGGTTGATGAATTACTTTGGGAAATAGAACAGGGTCCTTAACGATAGGCCATGTTTGGTCTGCAAAAATGAAATTTCATAATTTTTTAAGCAATATAATTTATAGGTTAAACAGGGTACAGGTTTGTCCACTGCTTTCTCATAGTAGAATTTATTAGCCTCAACAGTTTGTTCTCTGGTCTCTTTAGTTTGAAAGGACTTTTTTATGGATCTAAGACTGGGCCAAAGATTGCATGTGGGTTCTAATAGACATTTATACAAATCAAGCAGTATTTGACTCTGGGCGAGTGGGAGAAAGTGTGGATTTTGAATATGGTGTATTTTATCAAAGGTGGGGAGAGTGGCACTAACTCTCCTACACAAATGAGTTAATTTTTAGTGTAATCTGAAAGCTGCTAAAGAATGATAAAAACTTTTATTGTCTGGGTGGAATTATTAGAAGTTGGCTTAGACTGAATGTAGCCAGTAAAATCGTTTTAGAATGTTTTAAGAATGTTACTGATCCGTCCCAAACTGGCCTATACATGAGAACTCCCTTGTGTGCACTTTGTTCCCCAAGAAAAATTTTTCCTAGATAGAACCCTATGGTGCTTATTCCCTGAACTCATACAGCATATGTTACAAAAGCCTGTTTGACAGAGCTACTTTATTCCTCTTTGGGAGTCCTGGGATTCACAGTGTTTCTCTTGGGCTAGGGAAAACAACTCTGGAAAGGTGATTGAGACTGTTACCCTGCTGACTGTTTTGTCTGTTTCTTCTCTTGCTGAGACAGGCTTTGCACAGTATGCCCAGTTCTCCTTGTTGCTTTCATCAAGAAGTACTTTTTGAACTAGTTTTGTTTGCTAAACATTGTGGCAGGCCTAGAGGTAAAAGGGGAAAAAAGCATATCCCTATACTTTAAAACATTTTCCAGTTCTGGTGGATGTGGGTGATAGACAGTGATGATGGAGGGTAACAAGTACAGTGTTGAGTACAGTGTCAAGGAAGGAAGGTGTGGGGTGAGAACTGTGGAAATGCTCATTGTAAAGCCAAAAGCTTTAGGGGTGGCGCCTGTGGCTCAAAGGAATAGGGCACTGGCCCCATATGCCAGAGGTAGTGGGTTCAAACCCAGCCCTAGCAAAAAACTGCAAAAAACAAACAAACAAAAAAAAAAAAAGCCAAAAACTTAGAGCTTTGGTTACAATGAATAGAAACAATGGTATCAACTTGGTTGCAGTGAGACTGATTCTACGCTAGTTACTTCTCTCAGTCAAATACCAGAAAGAGAGGGCTGGAAGGTAGGAACATTAAGTATTCAGGTGGGGAAGATCTTATTTAAATTGAAAATCACATGAGTTTACTTTTGTTTATAAAGAAGCAGGAAGGTTCAGGAGACAATAATAGTTCTTTCTGTGCTATTAAACACAAAATCCTTCTTGAGATTTTCATTCAGTATTAAATATATTTCCCATTTAATCTCCCTGGAAGGAATGAAGCTTTCAACATCAGTGCAGGTAAAACATTGTATTTCTCCTTTAAACGAATCTATCACTGCATAAATGTCCAAAACCTCAGACTTTCATCTTTTTTCTGTCTTTACCAGCTGAACAAGTAAAATGAATTGGTGGTGCTAGCTGATTTAAATCTAAATACTACTTGATACCTTGTTTTTTCAGTAGACCCTTCAACAGGCCTGCCATGTGCAGTTCTTACCAACTTTTTTTGTTTGTTTGTTTGAGCAAACTCCAACTTTTGGGCTCAAGCTATCCTCTTGCTTCAGTTTTTCTATTTTTTTTTTTATAGTAGAGACAGAATCTTACTTTATGGTCCTCAATAGAATGCTGTGGCATCACACAGCTCACAGCAACCTCCAACTCCTGGGCCTAGGTGATTCTCTTGCCTCAGCCTTCCCAATAGCTGGGACTATAGGCACCTGCCACAACGCCAGGCTATTTTTTTGTTACAGTTTGGCTGGGGCCGGGTTTGAACCCACCACCCTCGGTATATGGGGCCAGCGCCCTGCTCACTGAGCCACAGGTGCTGCCCAGTTTTTCTATTTTTGATAAGAGTCGGGGTCTTGCTTTTTTGAGGCTGGTCTCAAACCCGTGACTTCAAGCAGTCGAAGTCTGCCACCTGCCTCGACCTCCTGGAGTGCTAGGATTACAAGTGTGAGCCATCACGCCCAGCCCCGCCTACTTTTTTAAAACTGAGACCATAGGCGGCGCCCGTAGCTCAGTCGGCAAGGGCACCAGCCACCTACAGCTAGGGTGGCAGGTTCGAACTTGACCTGCTAAACAGCAATGACAACTGTAACCAAAAAATAGCTGGGCATTGTGGTGAACACCTGTAGTCCCACTGAGGGAGGCTGAGGCAAGAGAATTGCTTAAGCCCAAGAGTTGGAGGTTGCTGTGAGCTGTGATGCCGTGGCATTCTACCCAGGGCAACAGTTTGAGACTATCATCAGGAAAAAAAAAAAAAAACTGAGACCATAGCCCAGAAAGACCATTTTAATCTCGTGACAATTTTGGATTCATTGAATCTTTTTGTTTCTTAAAGTGGTAATTGATTAATATACACCAAGGTCCGCCAGAATCAAGTCTATTCTTTTTTATTTATTTATTTTTTGAGACAGAGTCTCACTTTATCCCCCTTGGTAGAGATGGCATCATAGCTCATAGCAACCTCAAACTCTTGGGCTCAAGAGATTCTCTTATCTCAGCCTTCCAAGTCGCTGGCACTATAGGTGCCTGCTGTAACACCTGGCTATTTTTAGAGATGAGGTCTTGCTCTGGCTCAGGCTGGTCTCAAACCTGTGAGCTCAGGCAATCCACCCACCTCGGCCTTCCAGAGAGAATCAAGTCTTTTCTAATCATAAAAGTTGCCTAAACTTACAGAGTGAAGGATTTCCTGTTGATGGATTTGGCCTCTGAGCTGTCCAAATCTACACATTCACCTATTTGGTTTTCAGTGATAATTTTTATATTTCAACCTTTTGGGGAATCTCTGAGATATCTGTAATATCTCTGAATTACAGTTAACTGTGTGGAAGGAATCTAAATTTGTTTCCATTGACTATCCAAGATGAGGTATTTCCTTATTCCCCTTAAATTTCATTTAAAAAGAAAAAGTGCTTTAGGGTAAAGTAGTACTCTTTAAGGATTAGAGCATTGGATAGGATCAAGTGACTTACACACCTAAATCTTTATCTTGAACCACAGGGTAAGTCACCGTACCTGGTACATGAATAGATAAGTGATTTGTCTAGAGTAGGGATGTTTGAGAGTAAGAGTTGTGTAGTATTTTATGGTTACCTAAACATAGTATCGTGTTATTAGCCCTAGCTGACATCGCCTTACTCATTATCCACTCTATGCTCCATGGTAGCTTCTCTCCTTTTTCTACACACACTTACCCTTTTTTTTTTTTTTTTGCAGTTTTTTTTTGGCTGGGGCTGGATTTGAACCCACTGCCTCCAGCATATGGGGCCAGCACCCTACTCCAGTGCCACAGGCACCGCCCCCACACTTATCCTTTTTTATGTGAGATCCCTATTTATATGTTTAATTATAAGAATAGTCTTCCTGTGTTTATTTGCTTCACTGATTCCTTTTGTTGTTTTTAAGTTGCCCCTAGAAAGTTTTCTCTCTTTCTCTAGGTCCTGATGAAGGGTATACAAGAAGTAATTTGCGGTTCGGCGCCTGTGGCTCAAGTGGCTAAGGCGCCAGCCACATACACCTAACGTGGCGGGTTCGAATCTAGCCTGGGCCCGCCAAACAACAATGATGGCTGCAACCAAAAAATAGCCGGGTGCTATGGTGGGCGCCTGT